ATGCCTACAAACTCTAGCCCATATACTATACATTTCAATGTCAGGACGGATGTTCTGAAGACTCAGAGCTTCAGCTGGAGTTTTCCACTTTCATTTTTTTTTAAATTTTAAACAAGTAAAGCATTTTGATTGTTCAAAATGAAACAACATGGCAGATGTCTGTGGCAGGGACCCCACTTTATCTCCTCCCACCCAACCTTCTACCCTAGGTACTTACATCACTGATTCTGTTTGACATCCTTCCAACGCTTCCTTTGAAAAAAAAGTGAATGAATAAATACATATTCTATATTCCATTCACTGCCTTTATGTTTAATATGTCTGGGAGATTCATTTAAATCAGTACATGGGAAATTCTCTCTTTGATGTTGCAACTATCTTCTATTCCACCGCACTTGTCATGTGGGTGTACTGGATTGCAACCAGCCTCTGTCAGAAGTATTTGTATGTCTGATCACATCCTGTTACACAATCATATAGGTTCTTTTCCAGCATATGGAGGAACAAATTTTCTATAGTGGCTACCAAAAAATCCTCACATGTTTGGTGGCCTCAGAGGTTTATCTTCTCAAAGCTGTAGAACTTAGACATGTACATTTAAAGTGTTCCCAGGCCCAGACGACCCTGGAAATCCTTTAAGGAGAAAGAAGCTTGTCTTCCCCTTTCTGGTTTCTGGTAGCTTTAGGCTTGTGGTTACACTATTTTTAACCTCCACCTTGCTCTTTGTGTGGATTCTCCCTGTTTCTCTTTTTCGTGTGGTGTGTGTGTGTGTGTGTGTGTGTGTGTGTGTTCTTCAGGGATAGAACTCAGGCCATTGGGCTTGCATCTTGGGGCAGAAAGCACCTTGATCTACTGAACCATTTTACTGTCCCTGCCCTCCCCATTTCTTACAAGGACATTTGTCAATGGATTTGAGACCTATCCAGAGAATCTATAATGATCTTACCTCAAATTTTTAAATTTAATTATGTGTTTAAAGAACCTTTCTTCCAAATAAAATTTAACCCTAGTTTCTGGAGATTGGAACACAGAGGAATTCTATGGAGTGTCGAGAGACACAGTTGAACCTACTACATTGTGTACTAGAAAAGGGCCGGGAAGATTAGTCCTTCACGCTCAGTTTTGCAGTTCTAGGGTAATGAACAAGTATATAATTTTGTTGACTTTCCCTTGTATGAGTTGTACAATTATATATATTCTCTGCCAGCTACATTTTTCTATAGCACTGCCATCTTGTAGATGCCTTATCAGTGTCTTTCCTTCTTTCTTCCTTTTTTTTCTTTTTTCTTTTTGGAGTCTCTAGCTCAGGCTAACCCCAAATTTTCTTTGTAGCTGAAGATGTCCTTGAACTTCCAGATTTTTTTTTATTTCTTCTTATTTTGCTTTCACTTCCCTATAGGAGGGTGGATTATACGCATGTGATGCCATGTTCACTTTGAGATACTAGAAAAGTGCACAGAATTTTACGTGTGCTAGGCAAGTACTGTCCCCGGAGCAGGCAAGCATAGAAAGTAGTTTAGTAGTACTAGATTTTAATTGGTTTTGGCTTTATTCACAGTGCTAGACTAATAATAGTGTACTTGGCAGCATGAGACTCTTACCTCCGTGTACAATGCACACACACTTCACTTTTAACAGTGTACCTAGCAACTTGCTAGCAACCAAGGACCTGCCCCCTGCCCATGTGCTGCTGCATGCACACCCCTTTCTGAACAATGGAAAATACGTGTCTCCTCTATTGAAGGACCATCAAACACAGACAGATTCAACTCAATCAGAATAGAAAGACTGATCTAGCACAAATAAGTTTGGGGTTCATGCTCAATAAGACAAACCTGTGTACCCAAATGGATTTTCTATTTACCATCTTATGCCTATGCATAACTGGGCATGCATATGATTAAAATAAAATAGCTTATGGAGCAAAGTTTACATAATTCATTTCTATTAACCAAGATGGAGATGTACCCCATAGTAACTAAATAACTCCTTCTCATGAACTCCCCAAAATTACTGTTCCAAGTGGTAATTGAGACCCACGCGTATTTTCACACATGCTGCCTGCTGCTCCTCTACTGTATATTCCGATTTTTTCCTATTGCTTTGCTTTAAATAAAGTTTCCTCACTACTTTGTAATTTGTGTAGGGTTTTATTTTATTTTTGAATAAGAGGCCAAGAACCTTGAAACACCCAAGGCAGACAGCACCTCTGACCACTGGTAACATACAATCTATTTTTTTTAAATGTTATTTCAGAGTAGTACTACTTTGTATTGCAAGTTACAAGCTAATTTTTTTTCAGATTTAAAGTTTTTTTATTTACATGTGTGCCTGTGTGAGTCTGTGCCATGTATGTGCTGGTAGCTGCAGAGGTCAGAAGAGAATGTCATATCCCTTAGGGCTGGAGTTACAGGTGATTTTGAGCCACCTACATGGGTACTGAGAACAGAACTTGGATCCTCTGGATGAGCAGCAAGTGCTCTTAACTACTAAGCCAGTTCCCCAGCCCCACGTATTCGTCTTTGTTTTATGTGTATGAATGATTTGCCTGCATGTCTATCTGTGAACTATGGGCACGTCTGTCTTCAGAGGCTAGAAAAGGGTAACTGATCCCTGAGACTAGAGTTATAGATGGTTGTGAGCCACCACGGAGGTGCTGGGAACTGAGCCTGGCTCCTGTAGCTGGCTCCTGTAGTAGAGAAACCAGGACTCCTAACCACTGAGGCATCTCTCCAGTCCCAAGTTTTAAACTTTGAATTTCATGTTCGTTATTCATTGATTAAGGTGGCAATAGAGTGTCTGAAAAGTACTTGACACTAAAAATCCCGAGGAAGAAATAAGTAACTGCAGGGTGAATAATTTCCTCAAGGGGTTCACAGACTAACAAGAGGGATTTTTTTTTTTTGAGGGAACAACAACAACAACAACAAAAACCCCCAAGAAACAAAACTGGGAAGTGTCATGAGTAACATACGCATAGGTAGATAAGCATCGAAACACGAATATGTGATTCTTTTAAAGAGGGGTGGGAGCTGCAGCTTCGTGTTTTCACTCAGTAAGTATGATAGATGAGATGAACTTAGATGCATAGATGCCTGTTTTTTGTCTCCCGAGTTTTTAACAGTGCCATACATATATTTAGCATGCAGAAATGCATATATTTGTCTAGTTTCTCCTCTTCACTTGGATCGAAAGCTCTGGCAGTCAGGGAACTGCTTCTTGTAATACCTATTATTCCCTGGGCTTCGGATCTTGTTTTTACACCATAGATCCTCAGTGGATGTTTGATGATACCATTATCTCGTTCACATCACAAGAGAAAAATTGATTTCTGTGAGATAAATTCATTTAACTTTTTCAATCAGTGTAAGAAAAGAGATCCTTGTTCAAAGGAATGGAACAGTGAACATGATGTCTTATTATCTGCAACAGGGCACAGGATAAAATGGTGGTAACAAACAGTCTTGCCTTGATGTAAGAGACAACATCACTTCTCTCCCTTACAACAGTTTTGGGGAGATTTACAACGTCATCTGGGGACGCAGGAGGTGCAATAGCTCTGCCATCATCTTTAGCATAAAGATTACATCTCTTGGTCTGTGATATTTATGCTGTTTGGTTTGTCAGCAGTCCTGTTTTGTTATTTTTTTTTTGACTTTTTGGCTGAATAATATTCCTTTGGGTATATCTTAGTCGTAGCCATGTTATTTTGATAATTCTAAAAATAGAACTTATGAGAACGGAGAAGTTTTTGTATGCTGAGTTGAAATGTGTAGGGCTGTTTTTATCATCTTATTTTATTTAATGAGTTTATTGAGTGCCTGCAGAGATCAAATACCGAGCTTAATACAAGGATGTGTACTTTTCCAGCACTTCCCTCAGCTACAAAAAAAAGACACTTGCATTATACCCATTTAGATGAAAAAGACGTATGACTCTAAGCTGCCACTTTAGGTACTTGCTAATAAAGCTAAAATGTCAAACCTTGGGGGATCCAGATGCTAATAAATAATTATATAGTCAGGTCTCTGGTATGAAATCATTTGAGCATATTCTGCCTTAAAGTCTTGCTTCAGAGAACAGGCATCTGGCCTTAAAAAACATATTGGCCGGGGAGTCAGGTCCCCCAGGTTCTATTTCTGGTTCTGTTATTGGATTGCTATGAGGCCTTGCATAACACAGGAACGCTTTCCACAAAGCAAGAGGCAAGACTGACCTCTGCCCTTGTGGTTGGGTTCCAGGTGCCTTGGGAACTGACTGGACCTCACTGGAGAGCAGGCCCACTCTTCCCTGCTGCCAAAGCCATTTACTTTAGTGTGAAATTAGAGCTCCAATTTTGACATGGCCACAAATGCTTTGTCTTGCTCCTTACTGTGAATCCAGAAGTTAAAAAAAAATCTAGAAATAGTTCAAAATTTAAAAGTCCTACAACTTTTCTTACTTTGTGTGTGTGTCGGGGGTGGGGAGAGAGGGAGGGAGAGAGGGAGGGTGCGCAGGTGTGGGAGGGAGTCCGACTTTCAAAGGCGGTTAGTACCTCTAAGATTCTGGAAAGCAGGTCGCAGCGCTTCGTCTTCTGGGGACTACAGTTCCCGGGAGCACTTGCGGCTCACAGGGGCGGGATCGCGCTCTCCTTGTACGTAAAACACAGCAATCCGATTGGAGGTCACTGCGCAGACTCGAAACTAGGCGCGCGTCCCCGCGAGGTCTCAGGCTCCTAGCGCGTGAACAGTCTGGGTTGTGCGCGTGCGTCGCGCCGGAGGGCGGACCAGAGACACCAGTGGGGCGGGGCCAAGGGTTTCGCGTCGACACCGCCTTCCTGCCCCGCCCCTGACCGTTCGGCCCGCCCCTCCTTCCTGGAGCCACAGCTGAAACTGAGGCGGCGCGGCGGCCGGGAGGGGGGCGGCTAGTGGCAGGAGCGGCACGCGCCCGTCGCGACCCTATGCAGTGACTCGTGCGGCGCAGGCGCCTCCTGCCCCGCCGGCGGGGCCCAGGCTTACCGCGGCGGGATGTTCTCCCGAAGGAGCCACGGAGATGTGAAAAAGTCCACGCAGAAGGTGCTGGACCCCAAGAAGGACGTGCTGACCCGCCTGAAGCACCTGCGGGCGCTGCTGGGTGAGGCGTGGGGCGTGGGCTGTGGCTCAGGGCCACCTGCCGGGGGGGTCCGGGTCTCACCCTCGGCGTGGGCCTGATCGGGTCTCAAGTCCGAGTGATGCAGGGAGCTGGGGATGGTGCGCACCCGACCTCTGCTAGCCCAGATCGGGACCCTTGAGGCATTGTTCCTGAAGGCAGTACGTTGGCCCCGGGCGCTGCTCTGTCGTCCCAAGTGTAAACTTAGTCAAGATTCTCATTTGGGCGCCTAGCCTCGGGTAACCTCGAGGCCAGGCATAGAGGTGACTATACGCTGCCTTCTCCAGGAAATAAACCAAGTACAAGTGGCGCGGGCGGGCGAGAACACACACACACACACACACACACACACACACACACACACACACACCTGCCTATCTACCCCTTTGCCACCTCCCTCTTCCATTTTAAAAATTTAAATTCTTGACAACTTGGATTAAACCAAGACCTCTTGTGATCCCATCACCGACTCTGTTGAACTGCCATCACTCACTCACTCTCCTTTTAAAATGTTACTATGTTTGAGTGCAAGACTTTAGATAAGACTGATTTCAGCTGATCTCAGGGCAGACTAGATGCCATTTCTTCTCCCCTGCCCTTCTCTCTTTTAAATTTACATTTTTCAGCGGCGGGGTGAAGGTGGAAGGGTCTGGCTGATAGTTTCCTTTGGTCTTTGGTGTGAAGGGTGTTGTGGTCAGAGGAAGCAAGGCTTTCTTGGGTTCAGGGAGACTGCTTCTCTCTTATAACCAGAATGACAACCATTACTCCCTCTCGCCTTCCCTTTTTATGGCCTGCAGGGTGGAGGTTCTGCAGAGCCCAAGTGGGCCTGGAATTGACTTGTGATGACTTGAAAGCTCTCCCCGGTGGGTGTGAAGTGTCCACAAGGTCATCTGCAGCTGGTGATGTGTAGCTTGGCTAGGTTACGTATTACGTGGTTCTAGTTTTGTCTTCTGTCTGAACTTTTGCTCAAGGTAGAAACCCCTTTGCTTGTCTGTGCACAGACAGCTGTATTAGGGGCCAAGGAAAAGATGGGTTTCTTCTACATATATTTACTATTGAAACAATTATAAAAATTTAAAGACCCAGTGTTTTTAAAATTTTAGACCATCTGTCACTTGAGAAAACAGGGCACAAAAGAATTCACTTTATAGGTGAGAATTTTAAGCATTCTTGTTAATGAGATTAAGAGTTGCTAATTATTTCTATTTATATTGTGTAAACTATCTTTGAGTGGGGGACAGGCCAGTCAACCGGCCAACCAATGAAGCAACCAAATGTAAAACTCAAAACCATGTTTACTGCCGCAAAACTATACCCCTCCCCTCCAAACCCACCAGATTTTGACAACTGAAGTTACTATCTCAGATTCCCAGATATTACACTTAATGTGTTCAGTTTATAATGAATGTAAATCAGTTATTGTTAGAAGGATTAGTTTCAGGACTTCTGAAAGCAAAATGTGGTGTAAGTTGAACTTTCTCCTTCCTGTCGTGAAGTGCCCAGGCACACAAGCGCTTTGTGTTGGGTCCTTAGTATCTGATTAGTTCCTGCTGCAGGGACATTCTTGATAAAGGAGAATTGAACAGTATTTTAAGGCATTTGATACTTTGGAACTTTTTCCGTGCTGGAGAATTTAAACCTTTGTTCTAACCTAGAAGGCCAAGATTGAGTTGGCTACATTTTATAAAGACAGAAAACCTAGATCAGAGTAGTTTCTTAGAGATACACTGTCTTTTGTTACCATCCAGAGAAAATGGATACTTTCAGGTCTGAGCATCCCTAGTTTCTCCCCTAAGGTGTGTGTCTCCTTACAGCTGCAAGTGGCAGGGATAGGCTATAACTCAGGTCAATGGCATCTCTTTATGATTCTTTTTAAAAGTGTGTGTGTGTGTGTGTTTGTGTGTGTGGTGGGTTTTGTGCTAGTGAGTACAGTAACCATAGAGGCCAATAGACAGATTTCCCTGGGGCTGGAATTAAAGGTGATTGTGAATTGCTCTGAGGGACTACTGGGAACCAAATTCTGTACAAGAGCAGCAGGTGCTCTTAACCTCTGAGCATGTCTGCAGCCTGAATCATCTTTTTATGTGAAAAAGAAAAAAACCTTTATTATCGCTCAAAGATAAAATCTGTTTAAAATACTGTTTGTAGTGTAGAGTTCTTCCGTATTTCATTAGGAATACTATGTTGTTGATGATGGCCAAGTTTCCTTTATTTCCTACTGTGATCTTTAACTTTAGGGGCTCTATTTTTAAAAAGAATAAAATAAAATTTGAGGAATTCTATATACATAGGCTGGACCTAGGCCTCCTCTCTCATATGTAGCAGATGTGCAGCTTGGCCTTCACCTGAGTCCTGAACAACTGGAACAGGGACTATCCCAAAAGCTGTTGCTGGTAGGTGGGATATGTTCTACTAGTTGGGCTGCCTTGTCTGGGCTCAGTGGGAGAGGAAGTGCCTAGCCTTGAGACTTGAAGTACCACTGTGGGGGAGATACCCAGAGGGGTTCCCACCTGCTCAGAAGAGAAGGGGATGGGAGAAGGATTGTGGTGGGGGTGACCCCAGGGGAGCAGTGAGCAGGAGGTAAAGTGGATAAATTAAAAAAATATATATAAAAAAAATTGAATTCTAGCCATAATATTTGGTATAAACTTTTGCTTTACAACTGTAGTTTGAAGCCTTTAAAGAAAACTAGTGCATTAAAGTATTACTTCCCATAGGATCAAATGTTTTATCTGGTTATTACCTTTAAAAAAGACAAAGTGTTATTGAAATGAAAGATAGGGGTTAAATCACTATGAAGGCAACTGAAGGGAATGAGTTTAATCAGTATTGCATATTATGTGCAGTAGGGCTGGTATTTTTCCACATATAAGGATGATGCTACTGGCCAGAGTTTGCAGCCTGTCACTGCCACTTGTAGCTTCACAGCCTGGGGCAGTACCTAGCCTGCCCTTGAACCTCAGCTTTGTCACTCTGGTAAATGGACATGGTAAGGTGAAAGGATAATCGGTAATGACGTCAGCTTGGAGCAGGCATTTACCAGATTCTTCCTTATTGCTTTCCTCCCACCGTTAATAGGACACATATTTTAAGAGGTATTTTCTCCACCCTTCGTTTTTATTTTATATAATCGTATGGCCATCTTCTCTTTTTGAAAAGAGTTTCTACTTTAGACAACTTGTGGAGAAATGGTTAACTATGGAGAGTAGAATATATCCTAGGATTATGATAATGACTCCAATTCAGTGCTACTTACATAGTTTGTCCTGACTGTATTTTTAAAATTGGCTCTCACAGGGCTGCAGTTTAGATGGTTTTTATGCATCTTTGGGAAGAACAAGGAGATACTTCAGTTCTCCTTATGCTGTTTAAATTATCATCAGGAAAAAAACTGATTAAACTAAACAAATACCCCTCCCCCTCAGCTCCTGTGTATACTATATTGCTCTAGCAAACAAGTAATCCAGCATTTGGGAGGTTAAGGCAGGGACATTATTATCAATTTGAGATCAGTCTGGGTTGCATAGAAAATTCTGTGTCAGTCAGGTCTACAAGATCCTATTTCAAAAGACATTTAAAAATGTAAGGCACATATATAATTTAAAAATTTCTAGAAAGTACATTTATATAAAAGAAGCAAATGAAATTAATTTAAATATATTTCATTTAACCTAATGTATGTATGCATGTATGTATGTATGTATGTATGTATATGTATGTGAATACACTGTTGCTCTCTTCAGACACGCAAGAAGAGGGCATTGGATCTTATTGCTGAGGGTTGTGAGCCACCATATGCTTGCTGGGAATTGAACTCAGGACCTCTGGTAGAACAGTCAGTACTCTTAACTGCTGAGCCATCTTTCCAGCCCCCTAACCTAATGTGCTATATCAGCAGATACTAGTAAAGGCTAACAGATAATTCTACAGTACCTTGTCTATATGAATTATTTGAAATCCAGTGTCTATTATACAGTCAGAGCACAAATTTGTCCTTAGTAGCTACATTTCACATGCACGGTACCAAGCTGTGGCTGATGACTACCGATAGTAGGACTTGAATTTGGGAAAGCAGAGGGATAGGGTAGGGCAGTTCTAGCCAGCAGAAGATGGAAGAGTTGTTAGTAGATATCCATATGCAATAGTGCAGGAGGGTAACTCTCACCTGTATTCACTGGGAGTTAGAGCACTGGACACAGGATGCTTGCGTAGAGCCTTGTATAGCTCAGAGTTAGAGGTATCCTGACAAGCAGAGTCTGAGGCAAACTTGGTGGCAGATCAGAGAGGGTTCAGCTTGCTTGAGCTGGAAGCTCATACCTATCCTTAGGTGGGAGTTTGTATGGAGACTTTTTAGCAGGCCAATAAAGAAGACGTGAGAACTGCCCATCTCCTAGGAGTACCAAATAATGGATCAGGAAGGGAGGGACAGAGGCAAAGGTTCCTTGAAAAAGCTCTGTCAGTGGGGACAGGTAAACAGTGGATTGTTGGAAGAGGAAGGCCAGAAGCAGGAAGAACTTGTGATTCTTAAAGTACAGTAGGGGTTTCAGATGCTGGCTAAAGAATGATCACTAGAAATTAATCTGGCATTGGAGGCTGTGGCATTCAAGATTACCTAGAGGCCAGTACTTGGACCTCAGATTTGTAAGAAAACATTTTCTTCAAGTGTCCTCTTCATTGATCAAGCAGTTCTTCTTGGTTTACATAGGGGCAAGTTCACTTACAATTTTGGATGTTGCCTTTTACTTTACTCATATTTATTTTGTGTGTGTTTGGGTTACATGTGTGTAGTCTGTGTACACTCTTGTGTGTATGCATGTACAGAGATTAGAGGAGGACATCAGGTGTCCTGCTCTGTCACTCTCTGCCTTCTTCCATTCAGCTTAAGACAGGGTCTCTCAGTAAACCTGGAGCAAGTCTGGTGGTCAGGAAGCTCCAGGGGTCCTGTGTCTCCACAGTCCGCACAGCCATTAGCACGGGTTGTGGGT